CAAAAAAAAACCCCACCCCAGAGATCGTAGCAGCACCTTGCCGTTTCAGTTCTGCCCTTTCAGGCGTGCGGGAGATGGTCATCGCCTCTTCCTGCGGACGCAAGTACGACCAGAACTGGCTTACGGCGGGGGGGGCAAGATTGGGGCAATTCAGCAACACCGACCGAACGGCTGCCGGTTCAAACCAGCGCGTGGCTAACGTGAGCACAGTTCAAAGCACGAAGAGCACTGAGCACGTCTTGTGCTGCACTGCCCCGAATTCACCGACGAGCTTTGCTCTCCTCCTCCTGTAAAGCCAGCCCGCGCCCTGGTGCGCGTGAACTTCGGCCGTCTCCACGCGCTGGCCGCTCAGGACGGAACTGCTCAATGGCTCTCCTGGCCAAGCCAGCTACGCTTCTCCCATGTGGTTAGCGATAGGATGAGAGCAAATGGCCTCAAGCTGTGCCAGGGGAGATTTAGATTGGATATTAGGAAAAATGTCTTCACGGAAAGGGTAGTCAAGCATTGGAACAGGCTGCCCAGAGAGGTGGTGGGAGTCACCATCCCTAGCAGCATTCAAAAAACGGGTAGATGTGGCACTCTGGGACATGGTTTAGTCTAGTCTACCCTTAACTGGTTTAGTGTGGACTTGGTAGTGTAGGTTAATGGTTGGACTGGATGATCTTAAAGGTCTTTTCCAACCTAAACGATTCTATGATTCTATAAAATCTCCTAGCTCTCTTACTCCTTTTGGTGCAATTCCTGCCAACCCATCATATCTTATTTCCCACTGTGGCTTCTTGTCTTTTACTCCTGGAGATGACATGAGGCATTAAACAATGCTTAGCAACTCAGTTTTACTTGACTCGGAACTCCCCTTCAAATTCCGCAAGTGAAGGTCAGCCCTTTAGTTGCTAAGATCCCACCAAGATAGTCGCAGGGACAGAGCTGGCAGTGGATTTGAGAATTTTTTTATGCTTAACAATTTAATATTGAGAGAAACAATTTAATATCAAGAGACCATACTAGCTGTCAGTAATGCTGCCAATGTTACCAGTAGCTCTTAAACAAATGAAGCTGCTGCCCGACCACTAATTAGCGGGTCCCAAAGGCAGCTGGTTACTGTTAAAGCCAGTAAGGTGAAGAGGCTGGGCAAAACCTCTTCTTCTCTTTGTCCAGCTGCCAAAGCTTTAGTTACTAGTTCACACAGATTCCTGGCATCAAAATGAGTCAAGTCTCCCCTCAGGTCATGTATAGTATAGCACTTTCAGAGGTGTAAGTCTGCCTTAAGGACATAGTTTTCAAATCTTGATACCTGATGCTAGGTTTAAAATCATAACTTGAATTTCTACAGGTATTGGGAACCTGCATGTAGTACAGAGCAACTGAACTCGCAACACACAACCACGCTGAAGACTCAAGACATTTTTATTCAGGTAAATCTGTGAGAGCCTCTTTTTAAAATGTTTAACTGAAATTAAAATGTTCATTTGAAAATGCTGAGCTTACTGTAAAATCTATGGTGTCTTCTGTGGTCTGAACACTTTATGTGGAAAGAAAACTTTATTTCACTCTGTGCTAACTTCAGTCAATGATTTCCCACAAATAAAACTTAATTAATTTTTGTGGCTATCTAATAATTATTAGACACAACATATGCATCTGTGTTTTTAAAAAATCACTATTTTAACTGACTGATTGTTAATCTATTATCTCTGCTTACATGATAGCAATTAAGAATTTTCAGAAGTATCGCAATGTTCCCCTGAAACAGGAAAATAAATAAAATAAAACAGGCTCTTCTTAAAATGAGCATATGTTTAAGAGTCCAAAACTAATTGTACCAGCCAGCTTATAACCCTTATTTAATCTCAACTGTTCAGCAAAATTATATTTAAGCACAAAAATACTGTCTTTCAAAAGTCAGTGTTTGCTCCCGAGTGTTATCTTAAAGCAGTATGCAAAAAGTATCAAAACCAATCAAAAATCAAAGATGAATTATTCTAGAAATATATTTTTAATGCTAATGAAGTTCTTCTCTTTGGTCAGAATATTTCATTTTTAACACACTTCTTCTGTACCTCCAGCAATTGTATACATATATTTGATTTTAACAGATATATAGTGTAACGGGAAAAAGAAATGTGTGACAGGAAATCTACAAATGCTATTTTTTGATTCTGCAATAATGAGTAGCACTATTGTACGTGTTTCTTTCTGCAGTGGGCATTTAAAAGTCTATAGTGAATGCAATAAATATGTCAGTGGAGAGCAGGGAGAGAGCTGTTCAAAATCACGTGCAGACACGATCTCTTGACAGAAATGTGCTTCCTTCAGTGTCCGCAGTTCTCACTGCGCAATACGGTGAAACATAAGCACTCCACAATGGAAACTGATACCAACAGGCATTTGCAAAAGCCTCTTAAGATAGTTTCCCCCATCTCCTTTTCAACACTAAGACAATATAATACGGTGCAGCTTTCTTACTATGAATGCTCAAGAAGTCTCTAAAATGCCCTGCAGTGTGCTGTACACTTCTGACACAAGAGCTACTGCTGTCAGGTAGCCAGAAGCCCCATCAGACTCTGACATGTCCTGGGGCTTGGCCATCTCAAACTTACGTGGCTGTTTTCTGTCAGGCAGTCTCAAGGAAAGCAGCCTCACAGGGAAACCAGGCAACTGTGGGTCTAGGCCAGTACTTCTCGAGGAAGTAAAAATTAAGCTTACTGAGAAACAGTTAACGTAAATTGCAGACTAAGGTCAGATTCTGCTGTCCTTTGGCAGGACCAAAAGTACTCTGATGGAACGAAAATAAGAAGTAGCAGCATAGTGTGAAATGAATCCTTTTGGCTGACGATATAACTGACAGTAAACTGGGTGAACTGTTGTAGCTCAGCATGCAGAGAGTACAAACTGGTACTCCCACTCTTCCTCCCCCTTCTCTGCCATTCCACTACAGCCTCACAAGGAGGACTTGAGTTTAAACAAAATGTGTTGTAGATGCCTCCTATGTCCTGCTATGCTTTTTTGGTGTTCTGCCTTCCTTTACTGGCTCCTATTGAGAATCAAAATTGGAAACTAAGGAATAAGGGATTGTGTAGTGCTGTATGCTGGGACCCAAATCGTGACCTACAGGATACATCAGCAGAGTAGACAAGTGAGAACTTGAATAAAGATATTAGTGAGAACAGTACCGGGATGGAGAAGTATCTTCTTCCTTTTGGTTTTGGAAGGCACTTTGCTTAATATAAGTAATTTGCCATGGAAGGTAAAGGAAGTCTATTCATTCCTAGTCATAAAGAGGATGCAGACAGTTCTGCCAAACTTGTAGCTGCAGGGGACTCTCAAGTCATGGCTTATTACTAGGGGCAAACAAAAATGCTTACGCAAACTTTAGTGATCATACTCAACACTGTGAAACACTGTAACATAAGCAATTTACTAAAGATAGCCTTAGCCCCGTGGGACATACAGAAGCTTCCCGAGTTTCTTTGCCTTGATGTGGCCTGTCACAGACCACTGCTCTATTGCACATGAAACTCAAATCTTCTGCCCCCTTGCCCCTTCCAGAAATGCACTAGAAAGCAAGCTGGTTTCCTCTCAGTTTTTCTTATGTCCCCAGTGGCCTGATGCAAAAAATGGAACTTGGACAAATAAACGGATTGCTCTAAAGATAGGATTCAGGGGGTAGCCTTCAATTCAATAGGCAAAGTATATAGAAACTTTGCAGCTACTATTTTAGTCTCTAAATTAGAACGCAGGCTCTTTGGTGAATCCGAAACATCTTTGCAAATAAACATAAGCAGGACTAAACTGGTCCTTCCCCAAAATTGTCTCCTCCTACACTATCCCATTTTTTGCAGATGTAAGAATGCCTTCCCTGTGTGCACACACTCTGGTTACTCACTCTACATGTGGTGAATGAAGGTGTAACTCCTAGGCTGAAGTAGTATAGAGATGCCACCGCGAGATGCATTACCCAAGGAAAAATACGTTATTTGAGGGGATCATACTTGCTACTCACACTGTGCACACCCAGGGCCTTCCAGATGGCAAAACTGAGCAATCCAACTCCACACCACGCGTAGAGCGAGCCCCATCCTAGTGCTCGTAAGGCCAGTGACGCACCGCTCTCTGGCAGTGCAGCTGTGGCAGTAATCCCCTAGAACCAAAAAGAAAGTGATCAAGAAAAAGTGAACAATAACTGGAAAAAAAATGAACTAAAAAAGTTAACTTAATTCTCTAGAATTTCTCCTGACTTGCCAGCTGTGCTAGTGTGGCCACAGAAACTGTTACGGCTGGCGACAGAACCAGAGAGACAAACAAAGCCGACAGACCCAGAGAGCCAAGCAAGGGGTGGATGAGCTGCCTTCCCACCAGGAGCGGCTTTCATGGTTGCCAGTACCACCTGGGGATGGCTTTTATTACTCAGAAATGCTGAAGTCAACTGTTTTGTGGGCACAAGAATCCGACACTCAGTTATCCCACCAGTCAAAATACAAAACTGTATCGAAGCCAGTCACAAGCCTTTATGACAGTGACATCAGAACATAATCATTGTACATCACTGATTTTGGTACTTTTTCTTGGGGCAGTAACAGTGGTGAGCAACCACTGGCCTACAGGTCTTTATCTGCACTCCTGAAACAGCAGATTAGGAAACGGGAGGAACCTGAGTAGCTTTCAGCTTGACACAGAGAGGGTGTAACAGTGACTGAGAGACTAATTTCCAGGGGCTGCAACTCTGAAGGAGCTCTGGAAACTATTTATGAAAATTTTGTAAAGAGCAAACAACGCTGAACCCATCCCCCTGCAGAGTTCACCAAGTGGCAACATAGAAAAAAAATGCTCTGCTGTCTCCATACTTCTCATTTTTGTCAGAAACAAGAGTAGGTGGTTTTAACCACTTGTTAAGATACTGTTGCATACAAGTCTGCCACGAGGCGCGTCCTGAAAACACAAAACACTGTCACTTGGAAAAGCCACCTCAGGCCAAGAACGGAGCCTCAGCCATGATGGGGTCCCAGCCACAATGAAACATTCTCTGTCGCAGCACATAATGCACACTGCAGCTACCAAGGGCATAAGCCACATGCTGGCTGACATCAATCAATTCGCACGGCACATTCACTGTTAGCCAGCTGTTCTCATCTCACAACGCCCACCTTACTGTACCTATACAGTATAGGACAGCTTCAATCTGTGTAGCCTGCAACAGCAGTAAGACAGACAATCTTCTTGCTCACAGTGGTAAATGTCAGCAAGAGAGTTTGGTTTTCTCCCACAGGTTCACTGTTCAATTCTTCACATGGAAACACAGGTTTCAGATGGTAACTGTTAAAGACTGGCCTCTACGGTCCTTACACAACTGAACAGTCCTACTTACTTACTGGGTATCTTGGGGAAAAAAAAACAATTATTGCTCCGAGGTAAACATAAATGAGACTGTAAGCATACAAATATATTCAATAAAGAATTATTTCATTTATAGTCTAAAATACTGAAAAGTGAAATTAACTTGCAGAATGATCAAAAAAAATTTCCTCCAAAACATGCCAAAGAGCTGCACTTCCCTATTCATCACAAAAAGTGGGAAAAAGATCTTTTGTATTCTTGCTTTAAAAAGACTTTCAATTTTTTTTTTTTTTTTAATGTTTCTCTTTGTTCTTTGATACAATTAAACATATGTAGTGGCTATCACTATGGTATTTGGTCAGTGAAATAGCACCAATAGTTTTTTTCCTCTTGGCTTTGTATTTATTGAAATGTTAAAATGATCCTCAGACAGTCAGCACTTCTCCTTAGGATTTAGCTGTAGGCAGTTACCCAAGGACAAATGCACACTTGCAAAGGGCACAAGCAAAAGGTATCTTGATCCTTATTTTTTCTGATTTGGACATCCCAAAGTGGAAGCTGTTAACAAAACAATGCTCTGTAAGCATACACATTCATGCACACAGACAACAAACAGCAGAGATCTCTGGTCACACTATTATACCAGGTCCCATTATTTCCTTACCACAGCTAATGAACTTTCATAACTCTTTCAGCAGAGGCTGCTTTGAGTAGATTTTAAATGATGATGATGATGATTTCTAAACATTTTTCCTGCTTCCATAGTCTAACCATATACAACAACATGCAGGAAAATGTCTCCCATTTGGAAGATGGGAAATGAATGGACAAAAATATCCTCTACACAGAATCTTTAAATAGGAGTCATTATCTGTGAAAATTGCTGGGGAAAAAAAACCCCACCCGAATACTATTTAAATGCTTGACTGCCCTAGAAAAACAGTGGTAAATGGAAACAATTGATCTGGTTTTACTGACAGCAGTCAAACAGCATTCAGTCACAGGCTGATTCTTCAGGGTATTAAGTACACAGGTAAGGATTTCTGTAAACAAAACAGCTTGTTAGATAATTATCAGAGATGCTGTTCAGAGCATCAAGAAACCTGATTAATGAAATGATAAAAAATTTTAAAAAGACAACAGCAGCATGGGAGAAAAAGATGTCACCAATAAAAGAACATTTTTAAGAGAACTAAGTTTTATTCATGAGCCCGTTATTCTATGCAGAGATTGTTTTCTCTTCATTACTGCTCTTGTATTTTTTTAAAAAGGCAACTCCTTAATTTAAAAAATAAGCTATTAAACAATATTTGAGGCTTTCTAAAAAAACAGGCCAGGAAAATATAGGGCAGAAATAGCTGATTTGGTTACCAAAATATATGCTTTTTTTTTTTTTTCTGGAGGATATAAGCAGGAAGTGGAAGAAGGAGAAATGACATTGGTTTTTTTCAGACACAGGCCTCAATCCTGTAACTATCCCCTTGTGGATAAGAGTGTGTCTGAAAGGAAGCAGTGCCTAAAATAAATGGTGTGTTCAACTGTTTTGGTTGATTGTATTCAGCATGTTCACTGTTCTGTATGACCTAACTCATTGTTAAATTAAACACCTGGATAAATGCTGGTAAAACTGGACACTTACCACAAGGAGCTGCTGCATCTGAGCATTTATTTTTAACACCCCTCCAAGTCATTTCTTAACTGAAGGTCTCTGCAGTGGTTCATCACTAAACAGGATTATGTAATCTCAGTTTCGAGTCAATTTGGGCACCAGTCCTACAAATGCTTTACTTCACTATGACGGAGAAGGTACAGTAGGGGCAATTTCAGCTTTATCTCTTGCCAGTAATGCTGATGCTTCTCTACAAGAGTAGGGCCTCATACTGTTGCTTCCTGGAAGTCTGAATGCAGTCATGAAGCCGTGATGCTGTAATGCTACAGCTTCCCCTCTAAATTGCTATTTTTTTCTCCCATAAAACTATTTAAATCTGTCCCAGGCTGCGTTATGTTTGCTTCTTGTTCCTACCTGACTTGCATACTGCCATTTCACTGACATAAAACCTGGCCCAAGCCAGCAAAGATGCTGAAAGAATAGGTCTTGCACTTCTTCCCAACATTGAGCATCAATTCTCATTCCTTCGGACTTTCCCCCAAGCTTGTGCCAGCACAGTCACTGCAGGCATGCGGTGAAGGGGATCAGAAGATTGATTTGGACTAAAACTAATGCAGGAAATAATAAAAAAAAAAAAGTAGAATTAAGCAGTATCATCTCACCAACATAGTACCACAAGTACTGGTGCCTCTACAGGGGCAGGAATGAATTGCCAGAAACTAAGGGCTGGTAGGATTCTTTCTTTCACAGCAATGCTGGCTGATGTTTGCTTGTCAAAGTATGTTTGATGTTTACCTGTCAAAGTATGGCCTCACCCTAACATGGATAAAAATAATATTTAGGCATTGAACATCTAAGAAGGATGCAATCATCTGTAGTTATTCATAGTAACGCTGTTGTTATTATACATGATGTGTGATTAAAAATGACTTGCAGTAACTAACTATAAATTTAAGTAAGAATGCTACTGCAAAACTGTTTACCTCATTGGTACCTCAGAGAGCATCCGTAGACAGTCAAGTCGTTCCCAAAGGCTAGCCTTCCCTTTTGAAATTGCTCACCTACAAGTACCTTGACAAAAAAGCATCTTTCTACACTTTGCAGTATTTAAGCTGAGAAGCCCAGGAATCACAGGTTTTTGCTAGCAAATTGTTGTAATTCATTTGCACAGACAGTAGTAGATACAGGTTTTCAGCAAAAATTGAAATGGTATGTATCACTTGGTGCCATTTCCAGCATACATATTCTCGGATGTCAATGTCATGTCACTCTTGATAAATTTCACACTTTTAACAGGACAGCTCAGACAGCCAAGAATATGCGTGAGCTGGAAAAAATGCAGTGCTCAGGAAAAAGGAAGTTTAAAAAAAAAAAACTTAAAAAAAGATAAAACTTCCTTATTGTGATATATTTCTATAGCTTGTGAAAAAACTTCTCATGGTGTTTTCTTTTTTGTCTATTCCAAAAAAGAAACCCGTGTTTATTGCTGCTGAAAAGGCAACAGATGAGTTATGCCTTAGCAGCCTACAGAGGAAAATAGGATGGCAGAGGAAGGATCTCATGCTCTTTGACCACAAAAAGGAGATTGTGAGTGATCAGATACAAAGGCTCTGATAGAAAGTGCAATGGAGGAATTTTTTTTCTCTTGATATGCATTGTTATTGAATTAACATTTTAAAAATAAACAACAGAACTGATCAGTTCTCAGCTCCCTAAAAACATCTGTAATATATGTTGTATTTTAAGGGCTCAATGGAGATGAGTGTGATCAATTTTAAGGGTCTACTTTTGACATTTTCCACAGTAATAAGGCATCAGTGAGGAAAGAAGCGTTCTTCAATTAAATATGCTGTATTTCAGATTAATATACCAACATGGTATAATTGCTAGCTTTGTTTTGCAATTTATTCCTTCAGAATGCTCAGGCGGATCCTGTTAGTAGTTGCACGAGATCAGATTATTTTTGGCTTTCAGATGTCATAGTACCAAGCCACTGCTCATTCTCATCAGTCCCCTTACACAGTGGGAAAGGAGTGGAGAGCTTAAATTTTGACTAAATGATCTCACTTACATATTCCACAGCTCACAGGCTTTCTACCTCCTCATTCCCATCCTTACTGCAGTCACCTCACTTCCCAACTCACTGTAGCACTATGGGACCACATGGTGAACTGATCACTGAGGCGATACGGGCTCATGACTGAAGTGTGTTCACATCACAGAATCAAAACAGACGATCAATTATATTCCATTATATAGTGGCAGTACGATTCCAGCAAACAGTGTAAGCTTTACGTATTTCAACTAATCTCAAGTACTAAAGTATTTAGCAGTGCCAACTCTGAATTGATTTTTAAATTAATCCTACCCCTATTGACTTCAATTAAGTCTAGTGCTCTTACCATCAACTTTGTACAGCCAACCTCCACATATATCAACATTTCGAGAAAGCATTTGATGCATCCTTATTTCCTCTGTATCACAACTGGAAAACAGTTTAAACGGAACAAACCTTACTGAACCAGTCCGGGTTCTTCTTTTTTGTCATGGCAAGTGTGGTGCCAAAACCTGCTA